TTCAATTGAAATCGCTGATTATAATTTTTCATACATTTCAAACAAGTACAATGATATTTTATATCCGAAAGACTTCAATGTCGATCGAGTTTGACAGTAATTTGACAAGCAAAGACAATTCACCACATCTGTCATGCCATGGTAATTAGAAAAGTGATCGACCTCGAAGAAGAAATCTGAAATGATCTCGACATTCTGTTACCTCGTACGATGAATCACGAGTGGGAATGGCGAGTGTGAACGTGACATTTAGGTTGAACGTTCGAAACTACTGCAGAAACTAGGAACTAGGTGGAATATTTGGCTACTACAGAGATGCAAGAGAGTTGTTCTTAATACAAGGGAGGGTAATCATTGCCTCGGTGTGTTGCAGCTGGCTTTGAAACAGCCGAGCCTCCTCTTTTTCTGCCGCTTTCTGTCCCCGCGGGGCAGGATGCCTCGAGCTTTCGCCGAGTCGAATACGAAATACAAGTGACCGGCCATTGGATTCGCCGAGATAAAACCGAAGGACGTGACTCGGTAGCAATTTATGGGATCCGCCAACAGGGTTGTTTCCCGTGGATGGGTTTTTTCTGACTCGCGGACGACCGGAACAACGAACTGGCCGGCTGTAACGGGCGCATATTTCCTACCCGCGAACCGTACACGTGGCGCAATTTGTATGGGAAGTATGAATATTTCATACTCACTTGACTTGGTTTACATCTGAATGCCGGCTGATATCGCCGTCTCATTCGACCCGGGCAGCAAGCACACAGGATCCTCACGAATGCTCTGCAAAAGAAAAGAAGGATGGCGCTGAATTTCGATAGTGACAGTTCCTTCGTATAAAATGGCACTCTAATTTTTTTCACGCGAGACGCGAGCATTGGTTGAAATTATCGGGCAAACGATAATAGTGGCGTTTCTCTCTCGTGTAAAATACATGTAACGTTTCGTGCGAGATCTGACGATTAGTTGAGGTCATCAGGGGTACGATTAATCGATTATGACCTTGCATTTGAATGCAACAGAACGATCCAAGAGTTGTTTCTGTGTGTTGCGAGAGGAATATAATGGAATGTGATGATGTTAAGCGTTGTACGTGTTGGTCTTTACAACCTCAAAAAACAGATGCGAAATTAATTGTTAGAATTGTTGAAAATGATGGAAAGACAGTCTTGATACATGTCGAACAGGCTATATATATAATTAAGAAGACAGCTAATTATTGAATAATAATTAGTACGAATTATGGTTGGTCAAATTGAAGTTCAGCGAAAGTTGATCTGGTCGTCAACGAGAGATTAAAAGCGATCAAACTTACTGAATTCGAAACTTCATCATTTCCATAAAGAAACAAAGAGAGAAAAGATAATATGCGTCATAAAAAAAAGAAATATCCTGCGGGTGTTTCCAAGTGAAACATTTGACAAGTTCGGCACGTTCGATGAGCGTTAAAATAGCTCGCAAGTTTCAAACTTGAATATAGAATAATCCGAAAGAAGATAGATTTGGGAAGATTCGAAATGGATTATTTCGGAATCGTAAGAGCGATTCAAATCCTCCTCGATCCGAGGAAATGCGCGTTCAGCTGTTCGACCTCGAAAGTTGGTCACGTCATGGCGCGCGTTTTTTTAACTTTATGATCGCATGACTGGACTGTTGTTTCAAATATCGTCGCTATGTCGCGAGTATTTGCATAGGCTCCGTTACAGCCTGAGCGTGACATGCAACCGCTAACGTAAACAGAGGAATTTCATTTTCGAAAAGTAATCCTGCCCCTCGGTTCTCCGAGTCTAGAGATTTCTTCGTTATTTCATCTTGTCGCATTTACATGTGACAGATCGATCGATGTTCCGCGAGCGGAATACGATTTTCATCATGTGGCGCGCCGAACAAATTTCGTTATGGTTCCACGCTGTACCGTGTAACAAGTTCACGGTCGCGCTTCGACGATAGGTATCTAGTGGAGAACATCGAGTCCTTGATTATCTTGCTTGCTCACCAGTGAACCACTCGCGCAGAGCAGTTCAGCCTTTGTCCTCGTGGAAACCTCGCAAGGATGTCGCTCTTCCCGTCGTGTCTTGCCTCTTTCGCCGTGTTTCTTTTTCTTTCCACGTTCTCGCATGCCATCGTCTCTCGAGGTTACTCGGGCAGTCGAAGATTGATCGTTCAAGGTGTGACGAACGAAGAGAATCAACGGGAAGAATTTTTACCGGCGATACCTTGCGTCAAAAGTTTCTTGCTCGAGCACATAGGTAACGAAAACAAGACTTCCCTCGTGGTGATAGACGACGAAGAAGACATCAACGACATAATCAAGCCGCTTGTAGTGAGCCTTCACGCTAATTTCTCGTTCTTCAGACATGCTGCACAAGTGGACTTCGGGCTTCAGTTTTCTCCAAACAAGCACGCCTTGAGCACGATCATCGTAATGCAAAACGCCAGCAGTTTCAAGAACAGTTATTACGTAATAGACCCCTGCGAACGTGATTGTCCTTTTGTCATAGTATTGACCAACTCGTTTCAAGACGAAGAAACATTTCTCGAGCAGGCTGCCGTCCTAACACAATCGATGTGGTTACGAAGGATATACACTGTTGTTATTCTAGGGAGAGTTGGCGATTCCGTATTCGCTGCTGGTAGCGTAACCTTCGAACCTGATGAAATCTGTAGCTTGTCATCTCCAGTTATTTTGGACGACTGCGAGAGGAAAGGTTGGAGCAAATTAGAGAAAATCGAAGCTCCAAAGATGGACAATTGTGCGATAAAAGTAGCCTACTTCAAAGAAGCTCCATACGTCATAACTGAAAACAATACCGACGAGCTACAGGGATTTGAGGGAATATTGGCAGAGAGCGTGTTAACAAATCAGAAAATCTGCCGGGAAGAAGTGATGTGGAACAATAACGGTAGCTTCGCGGATCAAGTAAAAATGATCATCAACAACGAAGTTGACCTGCTCATTGGTCGTGTTCTACAGCAGCCCTGCGACGACATAGATTACTCAACCACGTACGACATGTTGAAAATGGTGTGGCTGGTGCCGAGTGTGCCTAACGTGTCACTGAAAGGCCTGATCCGGCCATTTCATCTCTACGTCTGGTTAGCGGTCACAGGATCCATACTGTTAGGCAGTGTCATCAAAATCTTCTTGATCCGCGATCTGTCCTTTCTGGACATATTTGCTTTGATAATTGGAGTGTCCACCCCCCGTCAGCCTACCAGGCCTTCAACGAAAATCCAGTTCATCGCGTGGAGCGTTTTCGGCCTGTTTCTAACGCAGCTGTACGTGGACTCGTTGGCAGACGAGCTGATCAATCTGTCGGACCTGAGGTTCGAAACGATCGACCAGCTGATCTCGTCGTCGTTCGAGATCGGCGGAACGAACGCGTTCCTCAATGTCCTCCAGATGTTCGAGAAAACGGACAAGGATATGTTCGATATCGTGCAGCGTAAGTTCGTGGTGTTCAACCAGTCTGACTATCTCGCGCAGTATCGCGACATACTAGAGGGGAGGAACTCCTCGTTGGCTTTGGTCATCGTGTTGAATTCATCGCGCAGCGACGTTATCGAGACGAGTCACGCGTACACTATGACCGCGGACGTGATATGCAGTTTCCCACTGGGGTTCGCTACTTGGAAGGGATTCCCTAATACGAGCTACGTCGACGACAAGATCCACAAACTCATCGACTTCGGAATTCTCGACCACATGATAGACATGTCTTTGATAAAGGACAAATACCACGTGTTGTCGCAAGCTGCGCGAGAGGCAGAATACAAGATGGAGCTCCATATGCGGCATTTCGTTCCGGCGTTCCTTTTGATCGTCATTGGCTTCTCCAGTGCTCTGCTGTTCTTTATTCTCGAAGTCGTGCTCTATCCTTCTAAGCTTCTCGAATAGTTTCTGACTGTTGAAGATTAAATCACGTGACAATTTCGTGTGCAATGTTTATGTAGTAATGTGTAGTAGTAATTTTGTTTCCATGCTTCTACGCTAATAACATGTAGTAATAATTTCGTTTCTATGCTTTAATCTTCTTCTTTACGGAAATATGATTCTACCAATTAGAGTAAATTTTATTAATTATTCTATATATTCTATATATCAGAGTATTATTCCATTAATTAGAGTGAAAATGGCAAAAAAAGGCTTTGGTAATTCCGTTATTAAAACGTACAAATTTGTTCCAACAAATCAATTGTACACGAGCCTATATTTTGAAACGATCCTCGATAATAAACGTTTGAACGTTTCCCTTTCAAGGGAATCCCCCTCAGGATTCCCTCCGCAAGAGTGTGTAGATGCATCCAATTCCGAGAATGATCTTCAGTTGTTTTGTTCCACTCGCGATCGGGCGAAATTACTCGGCTATTCGGATTCTTCAACGATCGAACGAGTTTGACGACCCGAAGACGATGTATCGCATATCGTAAAAGGAATTTCCCCGATCAGTTAACGAGAATCCATATCGTAGAAGTCCCGTCATAAAGGCGTTTCGTCTCGAATGACAATTGAACGTATTATGTTCCTAGTTGGTGATATCTCGGGCATAAAATCCCCGAGAGGGAGCAATGTAATTATCGTATTATTCTTAACGACCCCATACAAAATACCGGGCTCTTGGTTTCTAATTTTTGGTCTTGATACAGGCTATAAAGTTTGACTATTTTGTTTATATGTGTGTCTAACGTACACTGCGTTATATTTTGTATGTATTCTCAATTCCATTTTAATGTCATTTTCAAATTTCTAGTGTCGGTAGAATGCTAAGGTAACCTACGAACAACTTTCCGTTCGTCTATATATTTTCATTATTGAATTTAAATGTGAGTGAATATTTACAGACTGCAGATTTTCATGTAAATTTATGGGGAAGTTTAAAGATGCAAGAATGACGAAGAACATGTAATATAAAATACAAAATATTCAAGATATATAAAATATTCATAATATTCAAGATATTACACATATATCAAATATTCAAAATATTCGAGATATATAAAATATTATAGATAGATATATAAAATATTCAAGATATAGCCTTTATAGATTTTATAGAAGAAACAAAATATGACCAGTTTCAATTCATTGTTACAACGATCAATTTTATAGGATAGAGATACAACAAATATAATTTTATAAAATAAAATTATATTCTAAAATGGATCGTTATTAGTGTTACTAAAAAGATGTAGTGTAAAAGTTACTAATTCAGAGACTGTTGTCCGTTACTGTGTTACTATGCATGAATTAACTTACTTAATTA